AACAGAACTGCACAGCTAACTCAGAGACTCATGAACAATATTGAATTGTTGTTGTTTTAAACTGCTAAGGTTTGGGCTAGTCTGTCATACAGTAAAACTGTTAAATGATACAGGTAGCATTTCAGCCCAGTAAGAGAAAAATGGATTATGCAATAAGCAGCAGCTGAGACAACTAGCTCACCATTTTTGGTGAGGAGATTAGATTCCCACTAAATAGCATAATACATTCCAGATGGATTTTAAAAGTATATATAAAGAATGATAGCATAAAAATGTTAGAATAAATTATAGGTTGACATTTATGTACTCTTGGCATGGGAAGGCTTTCCTAGACAGAGAAACCTAAAGGGAAAAGATGAATAGATTTTACTATGTAAATACTTTATAAATTTTACATGTCTTTACATGTCTAAAAAGCATTATGAATAATAATAAAGGCAAATGACAAACTGTAAAAACTTCTTTAAATATAAAGAGAGTTACATTCGTTACACACACAAAGTATTTTTCATGCTTGACAAAAGTATGCTAAAAGATTACCACTCCTGATATACACAAAATAACAAGAAAAAGCTGAACTACCTGATACACTATTGAACAAAAGGCATACATATGTAAATAACAGAACAAGAAAGACAAGTGGCTGATGAACATTTCTTAAATGTTCAACATCACTGGTAAGCAAAGAAAGAAAGATTAAAATAACAAATTATCTTTTCAGTTAAAAATTGTAAAGATCAAAACAATTATTACCTAGAAAACAGACATTTTCATATACTGCCAGTGGAACTATAATTTGGTACATTTTTGCAAAGCATTATGTATGTGTACATGTGTGTGTATGTATGTGTGAAATATTTTTTGGTTGAACAATTTTCCTTCTAGGACTAAATCCAGGTGAAACACTCAGGGATTTGGGGAAGATGGCCACTTGACCTCATGATGCTGATCCCCCTTTAATTCTGGTATCCTCTCTGGAACCAAACAACACCCAAAACAGATACACGAGAGGAGTCTGGAGATGTCCCTGAGAATCCATTATCTTCGTGATTCTTAGGTGAGTTCTAGATTTGTGATGTTGACAAATAGCAGAGTTTCAAAAAGATGATGTATTATTATAACCTCTTTTGTCTAATCAATGAATAGCACCACTTTTGAAATGGCATAACTTATTAGTCAAATAAGATGAAGAATAAGTCACCAGACTTGTAGTTAACATTTTTTGAGAGCTTACTGTGTTCCAAGTACTATTCTAGGCAATTTATGTGTTTACACAGTGCAGTCCTCACAACAACCCGTTGAAGGAGGCACTATTCTACAGATGGGAAAACTGAGGCTTAGGGAGGGTTTTGTTTTCTCTTTGTTTAAGTAATTTGCTCAAGGTCACAGAGCCAAAACTGGAATATGTATGAGTAAGCTGACTCTAGACAGAGCTCTTATTCATTATACTAGGACACATCAGATATGCCACTTCAAACCCAACATTTATTAGTATGCATTTAAAGGAAAAAATGTTGGAGTCTTACCACAACCTCAGAAAGCAGTGACTTTCTCTAAGTCACTGGATCAGATTCAAAGGCACTTACATACCACGTCATTCAAAGAGTAGAGGCCTACTTTGCTAGCTTCACTATGTAACCTAGTGGTATCCAAAGTTTCTGCTAAACACCAGGGGCACAGATCCCATACTGCTTCTGTATCTGGTAAGCTGACTTTTTGGTGTGTATGTGTGTATGTATGTGTGTGTATAGATAGATAGATAGATAGATAGATAGATAGATAGATATAGATATAGATATAGATAAAATTTAAAATTAAAAATTAAAGCTGACTTTTTGGTATATATATAAAATAATAGCTACCATTACTGAGTGAAGAGCTAGTAAGCCAAATTTTGACCTCAGAATCTATGGCTGGCTATACCATCACTAACTCTACTACATGAATGACTATACCAAACTATTTCACATTACAGCCAACTCAGCAATGCTTAATCATGTGTATATGAAGGGACTTGGGCTTCACTTTCAGTTTGTCCTAAGGACATTTTTGGAATTTATAGTATTCCTGGATCTGGCACCCATAAGAACCCTAAACTTTGTCCAAGTCTACATTTCTAAATCTCAATCTCAATGCTCAAAGGATACATTTTTATGAAAGAAATTTTGCTTCCAAGAGGAATAACTCAATAATTATGTAAACAGAATGAAAACAATCAAACTCTTCATGCTTCTGGTCAGGTATTAATATTGCAAAATCCCAAATATTTCTTTATACTTAGGATATGATGAAATTTAGCCTCAACAATATTCTATCTGCCTAGAGATATTTCAACAGATGATTATTTCATATTTAACTTTGATATACACATACTTATAAGAAAAGAACTGAAAAGATTTCTGTAGTCAAGAATTTGCAGATATAAACCCTTCCTAGCTATGACAATTACCTGAGTCCTCCAACAATATTATTTAGGAAGAGAAAAGAGAGTTTCAACTTTTTAGTGGCTTTTGAGGATCTTAGAATAAATCATCCTAATGATTCATGAGCCTGAACTGAAAGAATTTTCTGCTGCTCTGCTCTTGTAGAGTTGCCCTTATCAAAGGCATCCAGTTTCAAGAAATTGTCTTAATGGTAAGAAAGCATTCATTCCTAGAACAAATGTTTATTAAGCGCCTATAATACAACAAGAAATGTATTGTTCTGAGAATATCGTGGTGGAGTAAAAAGGTCATTGACTTCTGAGAGTTTATACACTAGTGTTAGGAGGATACCTACTTCTGCTTCTATTTTCATATAAATCAATTATCAACAACATTTCATTTCTGAATGCAAAAAAAAAAACCCCAAAACATACAAAAGTGACTAAATTTCTGAGATGATAAAGAATCAAGTTGGAGAATTTAGCACTGTATATAATCTTAACATATATAATAAAATTGAGTAGTAAATTACATTAAAACTAAGTCAATTTCCTTACAGTATTTATATTTTTCTTTCAAAAGCTTGTCTTTGTCTTTTTTTAATCTAAAAAGATTGGAGACTTAAAATACTGATTCAAGTGAAAATCTATGGTTTTGATCACCCTGTCTAAAGTTTTACAAATCATAGAAAACCCCAACCCTGGGGCTAAGCAGAAAGATGTAAAACCCAGAACTTTAAATGTTTAAGGGACAAAGAAAATCTTGCTATAAAGAAAATACAGAAAGCATTATATCAAGTATCCTCATTAAATCCCTTTAAAGACCCTTCTGCCATTGTGTCCACAAAACAATACAGCATCATTAAAACAAGATTCAGTGTATCTTCAGCCCCAAGAGCAGGCATGGCAGGAGGCCTAAGAATGAGATAGACAGGTCATCAAAGAGATAAGAAGAAAGAGGGGGAAAAAAGAAAGAAAATGAAAAACAAACCGAAACAAAAAGTGTACTAAAGAGAGAAAAAAAGTGTGGAACAGAAAGAGCATTAGTGCCTACTGATCTCAGAGTCACATAATTGCTCCAGCACAAAAGAAACTGGCAGTCTATATTTGTAGAACAATTTACCAAGTATTTCCACATCCATTATGGAATAGAATCTTTGTAACAACATAGTGAGTATTTATCCCATTTTATAGAAAGAAACTACAGTTCTGGGATGGTAAGCGAATTGCCAAAAGCCACACAACTAATAAGTGACAGAACAAGGGTCTCTGAACTCCAAGCACAATGTTCTTTCCAATACCCCACTGTCACTATAGACTGCCCCTCAAATTGCTACTAATTTTTGAATAACCATGAAAATTTCAAGAAGCAAATATATTATCAACACATTTATTGATGTTTAATAGTAATTTTTCTTTCCTCTACAGAAGCTAAATATGAAAAAAATCTGATTTGTTCTTTCAAAAACAACAGAATGTGATAAAGGAGGGCAGTGGTATGGAGGGGAATTATGTTAATAAAAAGCAACATGAGGTGGTCTTTTGATGCAGCTGCTCAGTATCTTAAATGTGGTGGTGGATACACAAACATACATGTGTGACAAAACTGTATACAACTTATACATCCACAAATAAGTACAAGTAAAACTGAAAATCTGAATAAAAATCTATAGATTTTATTAATGTCAGTATCCTGGTTGTGATAGTATACTGTAGATTTACAAAATGCTACCACTGAGGAAGATGGGTAAAGTATACATGAAATCTACCTGTATTTTTTGTTATAACTACATATGAATACACAATTATCTCAACAAAAATATTCAGCTAAAAAAATCAACAGAATATTCAAAGCACAAACATTGATTCTGAAACAGATCAGTGATGCTATACATAAATATAAGACCTAATGTAGTTATTCCACGCTGACTTCTTTATAGTGGAATAGGCAGAGGCCTTATCTATAAAACTTAAATTTTAAAAATTATCATTTCAAGCCTGAGATGATCATTTTGAATAGTTTTTAAAAACATAATACCTTACAACTGAGAGTCTGATCACCCTAGTCAGGTAAATGATAAATCACTGGTAGAAGGAAGAATCAAGAAGAGGAAGAAAAAAGTCTTTTTGAACTAGAACAAAGGACTATTAAAGAATTTCATCTCAAAACATCAACTGACATAAAACTGTAAGTGTAAGTTAGTTGCTCGGTACGATAATTTGAGAATTATGATGATAATCATGGGATATACCAAGAATTGTCCAATAATAACACTAATCACAATAGCTACTGTTTATCAAACATACACTATGTGCCTGGCATTATGCTGGCTGCCTCACATAAATGATGGAATATCCTCACAACAAACCTGGGAGGTAAAATGTAGAAACTGGTAGACCTAATTTACTCAAGGTCACATTGTTAGAAAGTGGCAGAACTTGACTTTAAGTTCTGACTCTAAAACTTATCTGCTATTTGCTGCACTGTAACATATAGGAAAAATATCTAGTACATGACTCTACGGTGAGGGAAAAAACTATATCCAGTAGTAGAAACTTCCACTGATATTATACTTACCTGCTTGTAAGTTCCATCTAGCAAGGTGTCCAGGTGTTGCAGGGGGGCAGGTGTTTTATCTTTGAACCTTGTTAGCAGCCGCCGTTGAATGGCTCGAAATTGTACAGCTCTTTCAGATAAAAGTTCTTCTAATTTTTCACCATTTATCCGCAACTAAATGAAGAATTTCCTTAATTCAGGTTAAATGTGCACCCAAAAAAACATGTTTAAAGTAAGAATACAGGCAATGCCAATAAAAGTTTAAAAAGAGTAATGAAGAAATTTACATTATGTAGAATTTAGAGAATTAAAACGCTGTGATATTTGATACATGAATACATAGATGATACAGTGAAATAGGTCAAATAGAAATTTAGTAAACTGACCAAGTATCATGGGGAAAAAAACAGATTATTTTTAAAATGTTTTGTGATAAATGATTAAGTACACAAGAAAAAAAAATAAGGATTTCTCTCCCAGTCTTCACAGCAAAATCAGCTGTAGAGGAACCAAAAGTTCAGACACAATAGAAGTACTAGAAAATTTGATTTCTTAAATAATCTTAGCATGAGAAAGAGCCTTATAAGTCAAAAACGAAAACACAGACACACACACACCCCTGATAAATTACTAACTAAAATTAATTTAATTCTATGCGGTTAAGGAAAAAGAAAAAAAAAACATTGTTAAGTAAAGTTCTAAGACAAACAGGAGATTGCAAAAAATAATAGCAATAACCACAGAGACAAAAAGTCATGTCCATAATACCTAGAAATCATCTACAAATCAATGAGTAAAGGACTACAACCCAATACAAATCAATAAGAAAAGGAGCAAAAATCCAATAGAAAAGTGACCAAAATTCACAGAAAAGTTAATACACATAGCTCTCAAACATACAGCCTTTGACCTAGCAATCCCACTTTCAGGAATTTATCCTAGGGGTATGCTTGCAAAAAGCAATGTACATGGGAAGCTATTTATTACAAAATTTGTTCTGCTGCTATTATAGTAAGATAATATTAATAATCAGAATACTCATCAATAGAGGAACAGACTGAATAAATAAAGAGGACTACTTTGCAGGAACAATGCCATGCTAGCCAAAGATGGACTGAATGAAACAAAGCAAAAAAATACAGAATACCATTCATGTATTTTTTTTTAATCTGCATAGTAACATAGTTGTGATCTCATAGAACAGTTCTAGAAAGATACACAAAAAACTGGACACGAAAATTTGCTTTCAAAGAGGAGACTAAATGGCGGGAGGATGAGACTCAGAAATGACTCTTCATTTTCAAATTCTTTCTCTCTCTATATATATAGGCCATTGCAAGGTACTGAATATAGTTTTCTCTCCTATACAGTAGGAACTTATTATCTATTTTATATACAGTAGTTAGTATCTGCAAATACTGACCTCCCAGTTTATCCCTCCCCCTATACCCCTTTTCTCCACTGGTAACTGTAAGTTTGTTTTTATCCTCTTTCGCCATTGGTAACTATAAGTTTGCTTTCTATGTTGATGATCATTTAGGTTGCTTCCATATTTTGGCTATTGTAAATATTGCTGCTATGAACACTGGGGTGGATGTATCTTTTTGAATTAGAGTTTCCTTCAGATATATGCCCAGAAGTGGGACTGCTGGATCATATGGCAAGTCGATTTTTAGTTTTTTAAGAAATCTTCAGTGTTTAATATTTTTATCTCTCTCTCTCCGACACACACACACACACACATACATGCACACAGACACACCATAGTTTACAAACTGAAATGCAAAAACCTATCGATTCCTTAAAAAGTAATAACTCTAGGGAAGTAATATTTCCTTAAATAATGCTCAAAATTCTTTTGAAATTCCCTTTCATAATTGCCTACAGGGTCTACTTATAGGCAAATAAGTAAGTAAAGCTTGGTGAATTTTAACACATGAGACTTTTGAAACAATGACTGTCTTTGTTCAATTTTTTAATAAAACATGACTCGACTATTTCCAAATATCAAATCAATATTCGAAGAATGAAGATTTGACACCCTCAAGATACTCAAGGGGATCTAACATATGCTCTGAAGGTATTTCCAAACAATAAATGCAAACATATTCAGGCAACAAAATCACTGTCAGATCTCATTGATTTAGACATTTAATCATTCAGCATTTACTAAGCACCCATTGTGCCAGATACTGGAGAATATGTTATGTGGTTAATCCTCATTCAGACACAGAAGTTCTGATGCGTTTGTTAAAAATGAAAAGGAAAAATCACTTTACTTTATAATCACACCTCATTTATGGCCTGCTAGAATTAGTTAGCCAACTGGCTGCCGATAAGCTCAAACAGTTTTAACACTGGGTTATTGGGGTCAAAGGTTAAATCCCCATGTGGGAGAATTAAATCAGCTCTGTTCTGAGGCCAGACCACATGCTTAGCTCTAGGCAGCCACTCTGTAAAAGTCTGCAATTGATCACAAACTAGGCAAGCGGGCAGGAACAGATTCACAACCTTACCATCCACATAAGAATAACAACTTGAAATCCACAGCCTAATAGCATGTATACTAGAATTCTTACCTCTACAGCATCTCTTTCTCTTTCATATACTGAAAAACTAAAGATGATGTGGATTATGATTATACACACCTCAAAATGATGATCAATCAACTCAAAATACTCTTGAAGGGGCATAGATCCAGAAAAAGAACATGCGAAATCTTTGATTCCCTGTTTTTCAAAATATTCTTGAAGGCGAATAATAAGCTCATTTGTTATGAGCCAAAGATCTTCAAATTGTTCACTCTGAATGCGATATCGCTCTAAGAGAGAAAAAATAATTAAGGAAAAATGCCTATTAACACATAATTATTAGCTGAAACTGCATCAGTTATCACTAACTCTGACAGGAACACCAACACAAAAAAGGACAAAGATTTCTTTTTTGGAATATAAATATGATTTCTATTGGCTTAATAAAAATAATTCTACTACCTTTTTGTGAGTTTCTGCATCAACAACTTAACATTTTCAAGTTTCATTCCAAAGGTATGTGGTCAGAGTGGCAAGCTTCAGCGTATGGTCTGTTTTACTACGTATCTTAAAATAGGTTTCAGTACAATAAAAACATAACTTTTGGATTCTTCTTAAGAAAGCTTTGCTCAAGAGGTAAGAAAATAGCCATTGCAAAAGCACAATCTGTTATCATTAGTTTGTTTCAAAAAATTGATGTGAAATAAAATTTATTCCATAAAAAGTCCCATATCCTGGACACAGCAGCCAGCTTAAATCCCTGTAATCACAATCAAAGGTTTCTATTTTTCTAATGCTTCTTTCATTTGAAGAGAGATTTTATAGTAAGACCCTTCCCTAAATATAAATCTTGTTTCCCTCTATTTCCTGAAACCTCAGCTCCAAGATAGGCAAATTCTTGTCCATCTTCTACCCGGATGTTGATGACAACAGTGATGACAATGATGATGACAGCAGTGGCAATAACTACATCTATGATAAGAGCAACTATTATTTGTTGAGCACCAACCATGCACCAAGCACCATGATTGCAACAACCTCTTCTTTACAAAAAGGAAAACTAGGCACAGCGAATTTCAGAGACTTGCCAAAGGTCACAAAGCAAATTAAATGTCAGAGCTAGAATTCATGATATATCCTTTCCCAATTGTCTAAACCCTATTTATTCTCCAGGACCTGGCTTCAACCTCACCTACCCCAAGAAACCTTTACTTCTTTACCATCTACAGCAGTCTAATATGTGCCAGGCCCTATCTTAAGCACTTCAAATTCTTGTTTAAATCTCAATAGCCCCATGGGGAAAATACTGTTATCCCCATTTTACAGAAGAATAAATCTAGACATAGAAGAGTTTAAATAATCTGCAAGGTCATCTAGCCAGTTAGTAACAGAGCACGAATTGAAACTCTAGCAATTTTTTTTATTAAAGTCTAGTTGATTTACATTATTGTGTTAGTTTCAGGTGTACAGCAAAGTGATTTGGTTATATATATATATGTATATGTGTGTGTGTGTGTGTGTGTGTGTGTATCCTTTTTTTCTATTCTTTTCCATTATAGTTTGTTATAAGATATTGAATATAGTTCCCTGTGCAGTACAGTAAATCTTTGTTGCTTAGCTATTATATAGTAGTTTAAAGCTGTTAATCCCATACTCCCAATTTCTCTCTCCCCATTTCCCGTTTGTTAACCACCAGTTTATTTTCCATGTCTGTGAGTCTCTTTGTTTTGTAAATAAGTTCATTTGTACTATTTTTTAGATTCCACATATAACTGACATCATATGATGTTTGTCTTTCCCTGTCTGACACTTCACTTAATATGATAATCTCTAGTTACATCCATGTTGCTGCAAATGACATTACTTCATTCTTTTTTATGGCTGAATAATATTCCATTGTATATACATACCACATCTTCTTTATCCATTCATCTGTCAATGGACACTTAGGCTGCTTCCATGTCTTGGCTATTGTTAATAGTGCTATTATGAACAGTGCAGTGCATGTATCTTTTCAAGTTAGAGCTTTCATCTTTTCCCAATATACATCCAGGAGTGGGACTACTGGATCATATGGTAACTCTATTTTCAGTTTTTCAAGGAACCTTCACACTGTTTTCCATGGTGGCTACACCAATTCACATTCTCACCTATAGTGTAGAAGGGTGGAACTGTAGCTATTAATCCTAAGATTATCTGTCAGTCTTAACCACCTCACAAAATTGCATTTCTCTGAATTCATATATAGACTTAGAATGCCTACAGTTAACAACACACTTAACCACATACAAGCATGTACTCTTACTTAGCTTTCCAGATGATTATTTTCAGTCTCTTCAAAGAGATTATACACTTTTTGAGATCTAAGTCACCTATTCCATTTAATTCACCATTTACTGAACATCTATTATGTGCAATTTCATAAAGAAAGAAATGTTGGGAGTATAAAGACTAACTCAGTCATTTTGCTTAAGGAGTCTTAGGTCTAGCCTTAGGTCATGCACATGACATGTGCATGTGAAATATTTATATTCCCCATGGTACCTTGACAAATTTTATAAATATATTACATCTTTCGATTGGCTTTTAGGACTTAAATTTGTCATCCTCAGCCAAAATTCAAGAATATATCTGCTCTTATTCCTCTAGTCATACTCTCTTCAATTATATAAGAAATAAAATATACTGGGTATGCCTACCATGGTACACAGCAAAGACCATGGTCTTCTCTGCTGTCATATCATTCCCCTTGGAGGTTCCCCAGGCCTCCCCTCACTCCAGTCTCATTCTGGATGTTGGCATCTGCCCATCATGCTGAATAGATGCTTTCCTCATTTCTCCCCATTAAAGACAGTAGGACCAAGGTTAGATATGACAGCTTTTAGCTTTCTTTGTAAATGCCACTGAAGATTTAATGCTTTAGAAGAAGAAGAAATTGTTCACAGAAGCACAATTGTGGAGGGGTGGGAGTGGAGAAGCAGAAGAAAGAATGATGATGACAAAGTACAGGAGCATTAGAATCCTTTAAATCTAGGGTCTTACCCAAGGTAAACTTGGGATCCATCAGAGTAAACCCAGACTGGTATTTATTCACGTTTTCATTTATTTCTATAACTCAGTACAAGAAGCTAAGGATAAAATCATGAATAAAGCAAGAGCCTCTGCCCTCAAGGAACTCACTGTAGACTTGGAAAGATGGAGTTATGGGGGAAGAATGAACACTGCTTCTGCCATCATCGATTCAGGGATATCCCATTAAGGCTGACCTTGCCACAAAGTGCCAAGACTTTCCTCAAGGGATAGATAACTATTTTCAGGCATGTGAAGGCCTATCACATAGCAGAAGAATTAGGCAATAGCAAGGGAGTTACCAAGGGCAGAGGCACAATAAGAGTTGTAGAATAATTATAGATATTCACAGAGTTAGCTGCCTTAGGAGGTAGGGAACTACCTCATACCATTGGAAGTGTTTTAGGCTCTGAGCCCCTTATTCCTTGCTGCTTTCTTAAAAGTCTCACTGGGAGTTGTAGAACTTAGTGGGGAAGAAAGGCGGGTCATCTGCAGAGGTCAGACCATCCCGGCCCAGGCAATGCCCTCAGCCTTCTGAGGAAGAAGCTGAGCTAAGCCAGCTACATCTCCTTTTGTAGCTTTGTGATCTCTCAAAACACTGGCTTCATGTTCTGCCGCATAGGCCTTCCTAGATATAGCAGATTTAGATGGTGAAGTTGCATACTGCAGTGATGCAGGCCGGAGAGGATGGTGAGACGTAGTTGTTACTACTGGAGTGACAGAGCTGAATGTGATAGTGGCAGGTGTGGACACATATGTTGGCACTGCCACATGTGACTGTGGCTTCCCTAAATGTGGGCAGCACCTGCAAAGCCACAGACTAGATAGTGAATGTGTTGTCCTCCAAAGCGACCTGCACCAGTGCCAAGAGATCCTGTATTGTGAAGTCCTCACATTCTCCTAGTACAATCTTTCCAGGAAGGAACAGGACTTGTCTAGCATGAAAAAAATCACGTCTATCTCTTTGTCATCGTAGTCCAGAGTGAGGGCACGTCCCACCATGGGGCACACGGCTGAGCAGAGGGAGCTGCCAGTGCTTTGGGACCTTGTAGGGTCTAGCCTTAGTGGGGCTCAGCAGCTGCAGGTGGAGCTTGTGGCTGGGAGAGGCTGCTGTGGATATGGTGATCAGTTTTTTCACGTTTGCTACTTCCACCTATAGCATGTTGACCCATGCCTCCTTCAGCTGCTTTTCTGATCCCACCTACTTCACGTGGGCTTCTCACACCATCTTGTGAGCTTCCTCAGACAGGCTGCCATCAGCAACTCCTCCAGCTTCTATTGCAGGCATTGCCACACCTCACACAGCTGGATATGGCCCTCATCTTTCAGCCTCAGCTCCTTATGAGCTCTGTAAGCTCCTCCTTCAGGGCTCAGAGCCCTGCCCTTCTTGAAAATCTTCATGGAGATCCTGTAGGAATACCTGTCAAGAGCATTAAAGAAGAGCTCTCTCCAAGGTTCATCATATTGAACAAAATCGTTTACTATGTCCATATTCTGAGATTCTGAAAGTGAGAAGACACACTGTCTTAATGTGGTCATTTCTTCTCATGTATATGTACCTTTTAATTATATACTTAAAATGGTGCCTGAAACATATTAGGTGCTCAATAAGTGTTACCTATTATCATCACTGTCACCATTATTTCCCCAAAAATATTATAAACTAAAGGGCAGGGATTCTATCATAAACTTCATTAGCCCCACAAAGAGCCTAACTAACCCAAAAACTTTCAAAAAAAAGATACGAAAAAAGTGGCCTTAATAAAATGTGTTTTCCTTAGGATAGAATTTGCTATCATTTTAGATAGAGCTGCAAATTTTTACATAAATGTTACAGTGCTGATATTTCAAAAGAAAATTAATTCATTTAGGTTCTAGAAGGATTTTGAATAGGCTTCCACACACAGGTAGACAAACTGGGAGTATAGCCTAAATATAAATAAAGAATAAAATTTCTTATACATAAAATGAAATAAAACTACAGAGAGTAAGTTACCCCATTCAATTATAATTTTTCAATACAAATGTGTCACAATTTACAAATCTTAAAAGAGATGCACATAACAACTGGGATTATTATGACACATTTTTTGAAAGAACTAAATCATCTGGCCCAAGATACAAAAAAATGTACATTTCAAGATACCTGACTAAAATGAAGGCGCAAGCCACAGGGATATCTATGGGAAGAGCATTCCCAGTCAAGCAAGCTGTCAGTGCA